CTCTGTTTTAGTTCTAATTCTCTCCTCCCACCCATGGGGCTGGCGTGGAGTCAACCACTACCTCCATTGCACTTAGGGAGGATTTGGAGCAAAGGAGCTTTCACCTAAAGGCTGGAGCCAGCAGAGAGAGGGGGGGGGAAAACCCCAACCAACCACACCTAAACCACCAACCTTTTCATTTTTATTCCCTTTTAAGCCCCAGCTCTTGGCAGGCTGAGTAGCAGATAATGGGATTGAAGGAGGTGCCTTTCCCATGCAGGTGTTCAGCAGATGCAGCAGCAGAACAGGGATGGCCTCTGGGAGATGTTTATGTCCAAGGGGGCTGGTCAGCAGGAAAAGTGAGGGCACGTGGAATCCCAGTGAAATCCCAAATCCTCCCTGCCTGGCTCCTGGCTGCTCCCCACAGAGCAGGAGTTGGATCTTTGCTGCCCACATGGGCTCGTGAAATGCCCAAGTACTCCTCTCACACCCCTGTGCAGATGGGCCACACTTGTGTTATTAAATAAAGCAGCTATTAGCCAGCTTCTGGAGCTGTGGGGGTTTGTCTGGCCAGGTTTTTTTTGGTTTTTTGTGTTTTTTCTTCTTGTTTCTGCTCTGGCACACCAGAGAGATTTATAGAAACAACATCAAAAGGACTGAGAGTGGAGGGGATGGATGTGCTGAGCTGACCGCTGGCCCCCAGATTTGTCAGGCTGGTATTTATTACAGCAGGGGAGGTGACAGTTTTGTTAAGATCAGACTCAAAAGTCAACAGTGAAATTGCATCAAGGCTGACCACTTTCAAGCAGCTTCCCAGTAATCCCTGCTCCTTCCCTCCAACAGCACCATGAGAGGGGAGAGATAAATTAGGAGGCAGCAAAATGCACCAAGAATAGAGGAACAAAAAGCACATGGGTCTAGTGAAGGCTGTGATGTGGAAAATACTCACGGGGGTGAAGGCTGCTCATGTGCTGATGGCCTCAGATGTCTGGAAAAGGGTCCAGGCATCAAAGGAGAGGTGGCTGTCACAGCAGCTCAAAGTGCTGCTAATCTGACTTAAAAGGTGTGAGTTGTGGGCAGCTGCAGGGCTGGCCAGAGGGAAAAATAAATCGGGATGCTTAAGGGAAGAGACTGGAATGACAGGTAATTTATCTTGTAAAATCTCTGATTAGGAGTTGAAAACTTAGAGGCCAAGCTGTAGTGAGGACTAGGGAAGGTGAAGGTTGTTTTTGTTTGGTATTCCACAAGCTTCTCATACTAAACAAATTTACTGCAACTCACTGGAAAAAAGACTGAAAAGACAAGGATCCATTCTTTACACAGATACATATTTACAAGACTTCTTAGTGCACATTTACAACTGACTATTTTGTTTTCTTTCTAGAATTAAAGCTGCCATAAACCTTCAAAGACTTAAGGGCTGTTTCAACAGCCGAATTACAAAACAGCCCAGTCACAAATTACAAAATAAACTTGGATGGTTTAAATAAAGGGGAAAAATAATAAACCATGTGATCCACTTCAATATAGATTTATATAGGAAAGATAATTCTCTTGACACACTGTCTATGGTTGTGAAATGGTAAATTTCAGTATTTTAATTCATGCTTTGATATTTTGGGTCCTAAAGAGAAGCAGCTGACTGGGCCCCTGTTAGACCACAACCCTGCTGGGAGAGAAACTGCTCAAAGCCATTTGCCCCCCAAAAACTCTACGAGATGATGGTGGTGGAAACCAGACTCTAGAACCAACTTAGAAGAAGGTCTTTTTGAAAAGAAATGTATTTTCTTCATAAATACAGTACAATTACATTTTACAATGTCTTTTTACTTCCTAGACATAAAACCACTAACTTTTACAAAAGAGTTCCTATACAAATACATGAAAAGAGACTCCCCCTCTCCACAGCCCCCTGTCCCCCCAGCCCTGGCATGGAGCAAACCCCTGGGCAGCAGGGTGAATCCCAGGATAACCTGTGCCAGCCCCAGGGAGAGGAAGCTCAGTTATCCCAGGGATTTCCTGCCTTGTGTCAGTGTGGAGAGCCCCGGTCCCCCGAGCCACCACGGGTGCCACAGGTCCCACATGCCACCAGGGGCTCCTGGAGCACGAGGTGTCCTTGGAAATGGGTCTGGCCTAAAATTCTGTGAGTCCCCCCAGCTCAGGCAGCCTCAAAAACCAAAGCAAAGGCGATGCTCGGCTTCCAGCACAGACCCCACGGGCAGAACTTCAGCCCCACCACACGTGGTGACCTCAGTGTCCCCCTGCAGACTCCTGAGGAACAACTCACACATCCCCTTGAGTCCCCTGGCACTAAATCACTGCTCTAAACCCCCCAGGAACTGCCAGGCTGGAGTTCTTTAATTTAATAACAACATTGGGCCAGGTGGAACAGAAGTCTCTGGATCTCAGGCGGTTTCCCGAGCAGTCAGACCATAAAGGAACTGCCCAAGGGAAGGACTTGGGAGTTTGGCCTTTCTGTAAGCACTGGAAGAGGAAAAAAAAGAACTAAACTTCATTTTCTTGTTTTTCTCTACAAAGAAGAATATGTGGCTTTCTTTATAAAAGCTACAATTCTGCTTCTAATACCCGAGTTTAAGAAAAACTCTTAGTCTAAAATTTTGGTTTGCAAAGGTCGTTGCAATCATTGTTAAAAATCACTTTCTACCAGAAATAAGCTCTACAGAAGGCAAAGGAACTAGATGTGCAGTTTGTCTCCTTAAAGCAGTTTCTGTTTTAAAAACAAAATAAAAATCTGTACAGAGACTGAAGACTGTAGTACACATCTTCCTCAAAGCAAGCAGCTCGTTTACATTCACATCAGGATGGCTCTGAGGAAGCTCCAGGGGAAGAATACATTCCTGATGGCTCCCAGTTTGTCAGCACAGGAAAATGACCTCCAACTTCCACAGCAAACTTTTGGGCTTTTTGCTTTTTTTGGAAGAAATTGGAATGACAAAATAGGGCAAAGAGCCTGACTTAAGCAGCATAAAACTGCACCATCTTCCAAAATGACTTCAGTGGACAAGGAACTGCCAAGGCTCCTGCAATCCTGATGGTTCAGGCTGCCAGAGACAGCCTGGCTTCCATTTCTGGAGGAGACAGTTGCTGTATTTTATTCACAGGAAGCTATTATGTCCTTTTTGATTTGTAAAAATAAAATGCAGTGGCACTCCACTTGAAAACAGTGAGCTGCAGGGAGGATAAACCAATTATTTTCGCCTGAACAGACAATACTGATTGGGGAAAATCAGTTTTCTGAAAGAGGTCTTATCTGTAAAAGATCCAAATTTCCCAGATATTTTAGAATTACTGTGAATCAAGTGAGTTTAACTGTTTATTTAGAGACCTACAGTCGTAAAACTTCTTTCCAGATGCTGAGAAGTATTTGTAAAGATGGAATATAACTTTTCCTGGCTCTAAAGGAAGAGAAAAGCATTCAAACATTTCTCCCCACCCTCACACAGACACTCAGTGGCATTTTATTTCCCTTGTTGTTCATTTTAAGCCAAACCCACAAAATACAATATAGATATTTTTGCTGAAATGGCAAAAAGATGGACACCTTGAGCTAATGAGAAAAACTGAATTTTCAACAACTGTGGAGGAGGAAGAGAAATCAAATCATCCAGGGTGGGCATTACTTCATAAAGTGGGATGGAATTAAGCCAAGAGAAATCAGAAGCAAGACATTCTCAGGGATGAGAACGAAGTGGTGGTGGTGTGTGCCTAGAAAAGAGTGGGGAATGGTTCAGGGGGAAGGGAGGTCTGGAACTGTCTGGAAGGACATTGGATGTCCTGATGGAAGGGGGCTGTGCCTGGCCAGAGCATCTCCCACCCCACCCTTTGCCACCTCTGCCTTCTGCAGGACTGGGAAGATCCCCAACCAGCAGCAAACCTGCTAGAAACCAGGGGAAGTGTTTTCCTTGGATTTTAAGTGATTGTTATCAGAAGCAAAGCTCAGGGCTGACCTTTAGGCACCACCTGTGAGGAGAGAGGCACCTCCTCTCCCCTCCCACTGTGGAACTCCTGTGATCCCTGTTGGTCTGCTAAGGCCATTGCATTTGAACACCACAGCAGTAGTGTCAAACAGCAATTAAAGACATTCACTAACTCTGTGATAATTAATTGCTGGATTTCCTCATTTCGGGGGTGAAACGATCTGAAATGAAAATTTTGCTACTCTAATGCTGCACAGAAAGCTGAAACTAGCCAGGTTCCCAGTGTGTGACCACTGGCTAATGAAATATTTTAACATTCAAGTACAAAAAAAAAGTAGTTTTTAACAGAAATTAATATTGAAGTGTTTTAATAAAATGCAAAGACAGTAACAAAAAAATACTCATGTACTTCTATAGGTCTTAATATCTCCTTACAGTTTCTGTAACCAAAGCACTGCTGCATTTGTGATAGTTCCCAAAAATCTGGAAGTGAACCTCATGACTTAAATATGTAACTTTCTTCTGTAATGCCTCTGGGACCTTCTTGAAGCTGCTCTCTCCACTCAGATGAATTAAAGAAGTATTTTGAAAGGAGAGAATCTGCCATCTGAACCTTTGCATAGAGCTTCTCTTTAAAGCTCTACCTCTGAGGCTTTGCTGTGTGAAAAAGAATCCAGTCTCTCCAGAAAGGAGGGACATAGAAAGTTGAAGGGCATTTGAAATACAGAAAATTCTGCTACAGAGAAAGATCTCCACAAATGCAGTAGATTAAGTTGTTAAATCTGAAAAACAATAGGGCTTCCCACTGGAGCTATGGTAAATTTGAAGCAATTTCACTAAAGCCAATGGAATTACCATGTCAGAAATCTGATCTAACAGATCAGGGCTGGGCCTGTAAATTCTCCTTATTAATTTATGTAAAACATGAATGCAATATATTATTTACTATCCACTGTACAAATTATTGAAAAAGTACTTAAGTATAAAAGTGTGGCAAATCTTGCAAAAGGAACTACAAATATGAAATGCGACATTAATCACCGGAGTCATTTGTTTTAACAATGAAATAATTAAAAAAAAAAATTTGGGAAGTAAAAAAAAAAAAGTTACCACACTGAAAATGGTAATCTTTTCAGCCTACAAACATGAAATACCTATTCTGAGTTCTTACACTGAGAGGAAAGAGGAAGTGAAAGGGAAAGCTCCCTTGGTCACAGCTCAGATTTAGAAAAGCTTCCCAGGACACCTGTATTCCAAAACCATTAAGTGATGCTCATGACAATGTCCCTGCTTCTGATCATTTTAAGGCCATTAAGCTCACCTTACTACATTCAAACTAAACATGTAACCAGCACCTGTGAGAGCAGGTACTTCTGCTTAAGAGACTTTAAAAACACTGAAATGAAATATCAGATGTAGTGCACCTAAGGTCTAGTTTTTTTCTCCAGATGTTACCAGATCCAGTATTTAAAAAATAAAAGGGGAAACTTTCAAAGAACAAGTGTTACGGGTTTTTTATAATTTAGAACAAATTATAAATTAACCTGACCAAACTTCTGAGACATAATATACAAGAGCAAACAGCTGAGTGTTCTTTTATTACTCAGGTACTACATTTTTTTTTTTTCCCAATAAAAATGTCTTTTAAAAATTTCTTGCTACTGTTATCCCAGCTCAGATCCTGGTACAGCCTTTCAGATGAGGTATTCTACCATCTCTCCATCTGGGAGGTCCTGCCCCACAGTCTGAACAGGGGCTTTTCTTTCAAGAGTGCTGGAGTGGAAGAGTGGCCCATCTATGTGATGAGGAAAAACAAGAGACAGACAATTAAAGGTGTAACTTCAATGAGGTCACAAATATGATATTCATATTTTAAGTCATCTCATATCATTGGCCATAGACAGCTAATAACTTCTTTAGTTTTAAAAAATTCAATTCCCACGTGTGCAGCCAGACAAATAAAGCTATTTTATCAAATTCCCTTTGGGTACCTCCCACTGCTACACAAATCCACACAAAACTGGAGTGACTGCATTTAAACCAATGCAGTCAGGGTGGATTTTCACCACCAGACCTGTTCTTCCTCCATACCCATTAAACAGCACAGCATGGGCAGGAGGCAGAGCCCAGCCAAACGCTCTCTGCCATCAAGAACAGCATTGTAATGTGTCTGTAAGGAGAAGAGGCAAGGTTGTGTAATCTGCATTGATTTGGCAGAGTGGGCTGGAAAATGAGCAGCTCTTGCCAGCTGGGAGCTCTGTGGGAAGCAAATTCAGCTCCTGGGACAGTCACTGTCAACTGGATCTCCAAGGCTGAAGCTGGTCCTGTGACTGTGATGGTAGCAGGACAGCTTTATTGTGATAGTTCCCTCTCTCCTGCTTCTCCCTCCCCCTCTCTGAGTCCACCTGGCTTTGGATGCCCACTCAATGCAATGGCCAGTTTGAACAGCCCATTTTCATGTTTTTAAACCCCACATCCTACCCACAACTGACTTCAGAGCAGACATTGACTCAGAGACTGCCCAGGGATTTGCATTTCCCTGTTCTCAATCCTCAGATCTCGCTGCACCTCCCTGCCCAGTGTGCCCACGTTAATGCTGCCATTCTTCAGGCTTTTTTAAAATTCCTTCAGAGTCTTTGGGACCACTCAAACACCATCACACTTGTCTCTGAAATCAACTTGTCCTCACAAAAACTACCCCCAGTTTGCCTGGAGGGAGAAAGGGACGTCAGGGCTGCCCCACAGATGGAGAGTGAGTGGGGGAGGCTCTCCCCTGGGACGGGGGCTGAGCTCTGTTACCTGTTTTCTCTGCACTGTAGGTCAGGTTGGTGCTGGGGAGTCGCGCTGGGGTGGGAGCTGCAGGGGAAGAAGCAGCTTTGCCCTGCTCACTGCCCCTGTCTGTCTGGGTGCTGCAGTCTCTGCTGCCTGTCTTGGAGTGGGCTGACAGCAATGGTGTGGAGGGAAGGACAGGAGAGGGGGTGGAGGGGATGGATTCGGAGCGATATTCTGTTCCCAGCAGAACACCTGTGTGGGAAAAGGGAAGGAAATGTCACAGTCACGGAAAACTAACCGGTATCAGCTCTGCACTGATTGCTCAGGACCTGGAAAGTGCTCCCTCCCTCAAGAGGCAGCACTGCTTTGCCTTTCCACAGCACCTTCCACCCCTGGGTGCTGAAGTACCCAAGGAATAACAGTGTCCCCATGTTGCTGTTTGCAGGTGGGCACTAATCTGCACGCTCTGAAATCACCAGCAACAGGTCCTCATTTACATTTCAGAGGTTTTTACTCTCAGTTTTGGGCCTAACTTCCCCCAGGAAAAAAAAATCATCTGAGATTTGCTTTGTTACAACTCCATTTCCCAGAACAATGCTGTTGAGCCATTCCAGACAGGAGTCATGTCGGTGCAGGCACAACACTACAGGATAGAAATCCTGATTAAAATCTCTGCTCCAATTCAAGGAGACTTTACACCTTCAGCCAGCTATAATACCCAGCTGAAAGCAAGTGCTTGGGAACCCTGAAAACTGTATCCCAGACATCCCAAAAGTCAGGTGGCAAATTGGGAATAAAGGCTTACATATTTAATGGCAGAGCCTGACTATCAGAAGTCACTATTTACCAGAAGTGACTAAAATAAGCAGCTATTTCAAATGTGTCCCATCTTGCAGCCAGCTTTTACTGCAGGCCAGGCCAGCTGCTCTATCTGTCCAACACATCCTCCCCTGCTGCTCCTGCCTCCCCTCCAAGCAGTGGCTCATGTATCAGAATTGGAATTCGGAAATTACCCAGGCTGCCCTTCCAGCTCTTGTCCTCCCTCTTCTCCTCCAGGATGGGGGTGCTGCTCAGCGTTGAGGAGTGGGACAGCAAGCCTGAGCCAGCGTTGGAGATGGACATGAGGGACTTGGCAGGTCTCATGGAGGAGAGCTGCTCTGTCTTGCCAGGCTCCTTGCGGGAGCGTTGCTGCAGCACTTTGATCATGGCATCCTTCTCGATGATTTGAGCGTGCAGGGTCTTAATCCTTTGGGGGAAGGAAAAAGGACAGTTTAAGTGTCTCCCATCTCACTGGACTGAGGTCTCAGTGTCCCCAAGGCTGTGACTAGGGCTCCCTTAGGCATTTGGAGAGGTCAAGAAAGGATACCAGGAGAGTGTCCTGAGCACTGGCTCCTCTCTGGCCCACAGAGCAGACCATGTGAGAGAGTGTGATATACCCACCCACCTCTGGCTACTGGAAACTGCTCTAAACAGCCATGGAAGGAGCTCTGAGACAAACCTGAGAGTTATGGGCAGGACATGAGAACAACAGAAAGAATTAACACACTTTGGGGAGTCTGCACTGGGCCTAACACCAGGGAAAACATCTCTGTGAGCCTGTTAAGGGGTGGCTGGAGCCTGGGGTCTGATGAAGATGCCCTGAAGACAGAAAAGGCACAAGCTAGATGCAAAAAATCTAAGACAAGACTTTTATACATTAGCCCTTGGTATCAAGACAGGTTTTAGATTGCTGTGTTTATAGTTCCTTGGCCAAATGAGTGTCTGGCATTTGACATCGCTGCTGCTGGTGAAGACACAAGAATTTCTGGTTCTGAGGTGTCTACCCAGGCAGTCAATTTCAAATCCCTGTCCCAAAGAAGCCAGGTAGGACCAAAGGGCACTTTACCTTCCCTCCATGTCGAGACATCTCCTGTTGGCCAGCAGGATCTCCTCCTCCTCCTTCTGGATGCGAGCCTCCAGTGAGGTGTCGTAGCTGGGGTTGGGTGAGTGGTTGATCACCGTGGTGTCCCTGTGAACAAGCAGGACAGCAGATGAAGGACCTGCTGAGTTTGCTGCTTTCCCCCCAGCAGCACAAAAATACTGCTCAAATGGAACAAACAAGAACATCTACTTCTTGTTTTTTAGTTTAAGCGGGCTCAGCGTCTTCCAAAAATCCAACTCTTAACTTCGTTTGTGTCCTAGTGAAGAAGGATTACAAAAACATGAAGATCATGACAATCACCTCCTGTCCACCACAGGCCACTGCCTCACTGCACTACTCTAAACTAATCAATGAGGCAAATCCAAGGACATGAGGGGAAAGGAATACCAGGCACTTTTCTTCAGATAAAAAGCGTTTTCCCTTCCCCTTCCAACAGGGGATGTGAATATCAAAGGGAACAAGGCGTGGAAGTTTCTTAAGTGATTCTAAGCAGCTTGGTCCAAAAAATCTGGAATAGGGTGAAAAGAGTTTCAGACTGATTCCACATAATGCCTAATGTTAAAACTGTGATAGCTGGTCAGTCCACTAACCAAATAATGAGTATTTCATTCTGCTTGTGAATGTGGAAGGGCATGAGAAGATCATTCACCAAAGAAACCCAACCTCACCCAGTTCCTGCTGGGCTCTAAAGCATCCTTCCTGCAACCTCAGCTTCCCAAGGGATGCCAGTTTCCACTGTTAAAGAAAAGGGAAAGGAATCTGGACAGTGTAAATGAGGCTGCCACTGGAATTAGTGGAATCTAGATGGAAATGGAAAAGCAGAGGCTCTTTCCTGACTGGACAACATTCTTGTTCATTTAATGAAACCTGAGCAGGCCTAACACATCCCCTCCCACTCCACGATAAACAATAGACCAGGCCCCAACTTATCAGCCCACGCTGAAAATATAACATGGCCTCTAAGCACAAGCAGCAGCAGGAGCCTTTAGGGAATCTCTGGGGAGGTGGAAAACAGTGCACAAGAAGCATCAATACCCTAAAATAACAGCTTCCTTCTGGAGCAAGATAAGATAAGTCTTTAAACGCTAACACAGCAGATCTGCAGCTTCACCCCTGTAATTCCAGTGTGATCTTACAAGCTGGGAAGCCAGTTGTGATAACATCCCTATCTGGATTTGGCTCATGAAACCATCTACAATAAAATCTGCTGTCCAGAACCATAAACTAGTAAGCAATGAAATCACATGCAAGCAAGGCCTGATGCTAAGGAGTTGCACTCCAGTAACAGCTCTTGTTTACCAACCAGCTGAGGCACTTGGGCCAATTTACAGCTGTAATAAGTGTGTCTGTACAGTTGTCTTGGAATGGGAGCTTGTTACCAAATTTCAGACACCCTTCCCACCCCCACAAGCAGTGCTTTCCATACACAGCAGAATGTTTTGAGCAGAATTTCCTAGTAGATGTTTCTGGTTAGTAACCAGACAATACCACAAAGTAATTTGCAAAAACATTCTGGAGAACAAGGAAGCCATTCAGGGTGAATGATGTGAATCACCAAGCTCACCCCATCTCACATGACTTCAGCAAGGACTGATTCCTGTTTTAAAAAAAAAAAAAAAAAAAAACCCAAGCCTCTTCTCCTTTGAATCAACAGCTTCTAGGAATGGTTCAGAACAATTCTAATCTGGAAGATGGATCCTGCATGTGGAGGAATCTTCCCCTGGAAAAACGTTTCTAATTGCTGGCAACTGCACAGCTCCCAGGAAGAGCAGCCAAGCTCCGCTTGCTTGCAGAGTTCTGAGGAGCTGTTCAGACCACAGGGTGAGCAGTCACAGGAGGATGGCATGACAGCATTCCTGGGTGGGAAATATGACATTCAACTGGAAAAAGGAAATAATCCCAGAACTGTGGAAAGTCCCACTTACCTCTGAGCAGCCACGGTCGCAGCTGCATCCAAAGCAAACTGTCTCATCACACTTTCCTCCAAGTATTTCTGTTCCCACTTGGTCATGTCAGCTTCCAGAGCAAGGATCCTCTCTTCCTTCTCACGCAGGAGCTCCATGAGCGCCGTGGCATTGTACTCAGAGACATTGGCAGCCTGAGATGTGCCCTGACGCTGATCCCCAGGAGGAAAAAAACAAAGCAAACAAAAATAGAAGTCTCAGGATGCAGCTGTAAAGCTCAGGGTTGGCTGGTTTGCTTTTTGTCACTGGTTTGACACAAGAACCACCCCCAGAGGGAAATGCAGTGGCTTTATGCTGTATTGGCAAGGCTAACAAGAAAATACCTGAGATGGAAAATACTCATCCCAAGGCTTTTTTTTTCCCATGTGCAAAGCCCCAAATAAACATCCCAGAGCTGGACTGTGCTATACAGCTGTGATGTGCACAGCCCTTCCATAATGCCTGATCTAACACAGACAGACTCCCAAGTGCTCAGCAAGGCACTGACTAGTGTCACCCCTTCCAAAAAAATACAGCCAAAATATTCTTAAAGTATTTGATTACTAAATCAATATGATCAGTGTATAGCTGGGACTGAAATAATTCGGTTCTAAAGCAAGATTTGGAAGGCAGGCAGTGTCCCTTTTCAGAGTAAGGAAACGTGGAGATTTGTTCAGATAATAGCTCAGTGAACAAAAATTGCAGTTTTATATGGAAGTCTCATGTGGGATTAGCAAGACACTTGACTTAAAAAATAAAATAAATGGTTTCAAGGAATAGAAATTGGGCCGGCTAACTATTTTATGCTGAGCTCAGAATTTTTAACCGTGACAGGAAAACAATTTTTTTGTGTTGACTCAGGTTCAATGTAAAAAGTTGTGGAGTTTAGAGTACCTGATCTTCCAGAAGTGCAACAGAAAACTTTATCAAATTATTGTAACTCCTACTAAAAACCAATGCAAAACCCCAAGATTTAAATATCTATTCCTATGCCGAGATGGAAGCTAGGGGATAAAAGTAACCTGAAACTAAATGTGATTTAGAACACAGGCCTGCATCCTATTTCCAGTAAAATTCAGACACCTGACAGTTCATCTGTATTTCACACAGGCTGAAGTAAATGTAATTCCTAACACACCTGCACAACCTACTTCTCATTCATTATTTTCACTGAAGAAGACTCATAATAATGTTGCAATACAGTATAGGTGAAACTCCCATCTATTTCCATCAACTCCATTTATAGAATTGGCTTTGCTAGTTTAGTCTTGTGTGCTTTTTTTAAATTCAAAAGGTTTTTGAAGGGCTAGTTGTTAGTGAATTTTATATAAAATCCCAAACTGTGAACAAGATTTTAAAAATAACTTCAAATAATATAACCGTGGTATTTAAAGGTAAAGCAGCATGTAGCTATGAGGCTATTTCTGCATCTTGTCACAGGATGGATTCCCTATTGCTCCTTATCTTAACTCTCTTGTTGAAACAGAATTAAATCAGGTAAAAGCAATACAATGGCCAGGAAATCCATGAATCTAACTAGTGAGAAAGCAGCTTTTTAACAAGATAAAATCCACTGCCTTTCTGTTCTGTGTGGGGCAGGGTGCAACCCCCCAGGAGGCCAGGGGGTACCTGCTGCATGCGGAGAGATTCCAGCTCCCTCTCCAGCCGGGTGCGCAGCCGGTGCTCCAGCTGCTCCCTCTTCTCACACGCTGCCTGCAGCTGAACCAAGGCCTGCTGCATCTTCTCCACCTTCTCAACATAGACCTGCTTCTTTTTCAGCTGAAACAAAGAAAAGGCAACATAAACAATGAGAACGAGCGAGTGAACTTTGAGCTTTGCCAGCAGCCAGGAAGATGATGTCCAGGTGACTTCCAAGTGATGGGAGCCCATAGGAAAGATGGAGAGAGGCTATTTACAGGAGCTTGGAGAGACAGGACACAGGGAATGGCTTCCCACTGCCATTATCCCATATCCCAGAGGCCAGAGATAGATGGGACTTTGGGAGGAGTTCTCCCCTGTGAGGGTGGGGAGGCCCTGGCACAGGGTGCCCAGAGCAGTTGTGGCTGTCCCTGGATCCCTGGCAGTGCCCAAGGCCAGGCTGGACAGGGCTTGGAGCAGCCTGGGATAGTGGAAGGTGTCCCTATGGCAGAGGGTTGGAATTGGATGATCTTTAAGGTCCCTTCCAGTCCATTCCATGGCTCATCACTGCTGTCAGTGGGCTCCAGCCTCCTGCTCTGGACTGGACACTCAGGATGTTCCAGCTCTGTCCCAGTTCTGCTTTCCTGCTGGGTGTATTTGTCCTTTCTGTCCTCAGTGACCCCATGGTAACGACGAGGAAACTGAGGAAATTATCTGTGGCAATGAACTAGAAAGGGCACCAGGGACTGAACCAGTGTTTGAGTGACTTGACACACGTTTCCAAGGTAACTGCAGCAGTGTTTAGAGCTGGTCCCCAAGTTGGGAACACTCCCAGTGCAATACTGAAAATTGCTGGTAGCATTTTTACAAGATTAAGCAGAAACTGAATCAAAACTTGTAGCATCCTATTGCAGTCTGATCACAACAAAATTACAGGCTCAAAGTACACACATGGCTCTCCCCATGCCAGGTTTTTATCCAGGTTTATCCCAGCAGTCTGGACATTCTTCCTGGCCTGAGAGGTCCTGCTCTGTTCCTGCCACTGCCCTTCCATCCTCCTCCACTGTTCATCCTGCAAGCCAAGCTGCCATCCTGCCTCACAAGAAGCAACAAAAAGAGCCCCCCAGTAACTGTCTTAGGAAGGTTAATCCACAGTTCAGGCAGAACAAAAAACAAACTAAAATATGACTTTAAAAAAAAAAAAAAAGAATAAAACATATCCAGCCCCTGGCTCTATTCAAATACAGGGAATACTGCACACCTGTGGGCATTATTTTCTGTTTAGGAAAAGACTAACGATTGGAATTAGCTGGCCGTAATGTGCAGCAAATCTGGGGCACTGCTTTTGTAGCTCTGATTGTCATAAACCCTGAAATAAAAAAATAGCAGGAAGAAGGCAACTTTTCCCAACAGTCAGAGCCAAAGCTCTAGAAAAGCACCACAATGCAAAACACAGACTCCCTTATGTGAGTTCAAAGAGCTGCTCTACATCTTCATGGAAGAAAAGTCCACTGAGGGATATTAAAGACAAAAGACACCACTTTTGGCTCAGGAAGTCCTTCTTGGAAGCGGAAAGTATTCTGGGAAAGTATCAGCCCCATTCTGACAGTGCTCCCTAGGAATCTGCTCTCAGCTTCAGCAGACACAGGATACTTTGATCTCAACAACACGAGCGGTTCTTACATCGCACCTTTGTTCCAAAAAGCTCTTATCATGCGTTTCTTATAAAATTTTCCCTTTTCTCACTCCTGTTCCTTCAGGCAATGTGAAGAGCAGAGACAGAAAAATCTCCCAACACTATTAATCCCAGACATAGTATCCTTTTCTTCTCTCCATAAAGTCAGCAGGCATCTAATCTCACAGCAGGAATGTTGCTGCCTTAGAGGATTTTCCCCAAGCAAGAATTTTATAATAAAAGTTACAATAAACAGTGAGCAATCCAGCCAAAGGACTTCTCACCAGTGCATGTACAGTAGAAAGGTTATTTTTTTTTCTTTGATTGCTCAAGATTTCAAGCTTGTTTGGAACAGGAGGGATGAGAATATTTTAATGTAACTTAATAGTCTGCAGAAAATCAATAAATATGTTATACTTAATAAATCTTTTTATTCCAGATCATAGTACTTGATAACACCGATTTAAGGTTTGTCAGACTCCACTAAAGTGTGGATTAATGCACCAGTTTTAAGCTTAGATTAACAGCAGCTCAAAGTAGGCAAAAGTGATATAGGGTCAGCAGCAGAACTCAGAAATGAAGAGCACTCAGCATCTTGGGTTTTGACCTGGACAAGAGTGAGGAGCAAGTTGATAAACTCACTAGCAGTGAAATACCATGCATGGAGCTGAAAAATAATCTCTTCAAAACCATCTCTCCTCCCTCTCTCTTCTTCATAAAAGAAGTTAAGGATGAGGTGATGGAGATTTGGTCTCATTACCTGCTAGAAAGCATTTAAATTTCTGAGTTTTTTAACACACAGGCAAAATCCTGCAAAAGCAGCCACCGACAACATGTTACAGTTTCACAATTAACAAACCTGAGTATGCATATGTGTGGATTAACATTCTGGCCTGCATTCAAAGAATACCAAGACCCCAGCCAAAAAGCAGAATTAGGACACAGAAATTCCACTGAAACATTCACTTTGAACGTGCTCCCATCAGCCAAACCTGCAGGTGAAAAGTTGCAACACAATCTGTTGCCCAAGCTCCCAGCACTGCCTGCACACGCCTGACTCGGGCACCAGACCCAAAGTACAGGCACAGCTTGTTCAGTGGCTTTGCAGAAAGACAACTTTTTTTTTTTTCCCCCTTCACAAGATGCACTTCTTCCAGCATCAGGAAGAATTAGGAATGTTGGAAGATTTAGGGCTGGTGTGTGTATTCTTTTCAACAGCTTAAAGCCAGAATTAATTCACTAATTCCTCAAGTAATTTTCAGGTTTTTGGAACCCAGGTGTTCAGTAAGCTTGAAAGGCATGGGATGTGCTTCAGACAGCTCAACTTTCCTAATGTCTTCTGCCAGAATTATCCTTTCTCTACAAGACAATCTCATTTCATGCACTTGCTGCTCTCAGTTAAGTCACTGCATATTCTGGCACTCATTTACTTCCAGCTCTGCCACTCTGCTACTGCAAGTATTTGTGAGAAAAATTTACCTTCAGGATTCTCCAGAAGTAGTAGAAGGGAAATCTAAATCTCTACAGTTTTGGTTTTCATCCCTCTGACTGGATCTGAACTCTCAATGTAAAGAGGATCAGGAATGATTCTGCCAGGCACAGAGGGATTTCATTACCAGAAATCAAGAACATGATCTTGTTTTCCTAAGACAGGAATTGGAAACAATTTCCCGAGTATTGCCAGGGTGCTGAAGACATAACTAAGATGGGAAGAAGGAAAAAAGGCAGCATGCTGAGGCTTGTTCTTGGTCATTTGCCATGGATTCCCCACCCTCTCCCTCCCAGCAAAGAACCAAAACTGGCTGCTCAGTGCCAAGGGCCACAGCAACATCTACCAGGGCAGGGATGGCATCAAAGGACACAGGAATTCTCTCCTCTGCATCAGGCCTTGCAGTGAACACGTGCTCTAGATAAGAGTTCATTCCTGAAGCTTTACAAGGATGCAGTCACGCCCTTTGGGATGTAATTTTAAATAAATTTGACAAGATAGTAATTTTCCTTTTGATGGTACAGCATTTAACTAAGATGCAAGCTCATGTTCACATAATGTATCATAACTGCTTTGCCTCCAAGGGTGTTCTGAAAATACAGAACATTTTGTTAATGAGAATATCTTTATTTTAACACCTCTTTACGATGTAAGATCTCAAATAACCTCAGTGCATGTCTGGAAACACAGCAGGATGACTGTATCCATTCCCAGCTTCCTACAGCACGATTTTAATAATGTCCTTATCCACTCCAGGTCAATCTCTGACTGCTTTGGAAAATGTCCTAACCAAGCATCAGAGGTCAGGCTATCATTTTATCAACAAAGTTTTCTAACTAAACCAAGGTAAACAGAAGCAATCACTCTCCAGTTGCCATTTACTACAAAGTTTATGTAAATTCTGCAACGGAACTGAGGACAAGAAAAATAAAGATGACCATGACTGGCCTGGGCTCCACAGAAATCCAGTGCACAAAGAGCAAAGCAATGCAGCGAATATCCCTGAAAGATTCCCTGGCTGCCTGATCAAGTATTTCCAGCTTCATTTAATTTCCCCTCTCCCTTGGCATGTACTTGCACAGTCTAAAATGAGTGGCCAAAGACAAAGTTCTCCCCTCAGAAATAGGGGATATTTGATTATTACTACAACTGCCCAGCACAAAGGGGATTAAAACATTCTATAAGCCATTCTAAAATCCTGTTCCTCATTTATTTAGGCTTTGACAAACTATGCAATGCCTTTCAGGGACCCCAGGTCCTTGCAGAAGGAAAGCTCTGAGGAGGGCACAGAGGTTCCATGGAAAGGGAGCAGGGGCACACAGGAATGAGGAATTTTCACTCAGGTCACAAGGCACAAAGGAGGCTGCAACATCCTCCAACTGGAGCTGCCTGTGCAGGACAAACACAGCCCTGGACACAGCAGGTGAGGGGGAAGGATGTTCTTTTTGGAAAGAAATTCATTGCTTCCAGATGCGTTACTCAGCAAAGATTTATATTATTTTTTTTTTCCCCTGGGAAAGAAGAGAAAACTTCCTGCAATGATTCAGAACTCTCCCAGGCATTTTGTCAAACCCAGCCATTACCCTCTTCATCTTGGACAGCTCCTATTTCAGCAAATTGGTAACACTCATCAGCATCTGTTTGTCTCCCACCCACTATTTCTGATGTCTTCAAAGTCCTTTGTTTAATATATTCAGGGTGTTTTCATAACATTCTGAGTTTATCCTAAAGCTGAATCCATTCAGATGCAGCTGAAAATGTGTTTCCCCACAAGAATTTGCCTGCTATGGCAGAAATGTAGTTAAAAAAAAAAAAAAAAAGAAAGAAAAAAAGAAAAAGAGCCAGCAAGCACGTTTAAATCACCTCACCCTCTTGCAGTTGGAATATATTTCTCTAGGATGCCTTTGAACCCTCAGTTTGTTTGAATTCAGGCCCAACAAGGCGCCAGTGGCCTCAGCAAGAATTCCTGCTGAAACAATTTGGTAACACTATCCCCGTGCTAGGGAACAGTGTTTGTGGCATGGGAATGTCACAATGTTGTCACCCCGTTTGTTTGTGTTAAAATAAAGTTCTAACTCTCAAAGCCACCTCTGGAAAATCACTAACAGGCAGAATATGTGAGATAGTGACATGGCAATAAAAAGGCAGCTCTGGCACAAGAATGCAGCTCATTAGAGGGAACCAGGCAAAACAGAGAGGTTTCTCTCCTCTGCACCCAATCCATCCAGGAATGACAAGCCATGCAAAAAGTGTCTCTTTTAAAAGCAACTCTTTGCTGAAAGGAGTATTAGATACCTCTCAGAGTCTACATGAAACAAAGCTGTGGAGACCAGGAGTATCTTTTTATAGACCCAGGGAAGTGACTGGAAAAAACTAGACCAGGCATCAAGCAGACAGCTCTCCTTTGAGTCTCCTCCCTACAAGCCAGAGCTCTGTTCTGAAAGTACCTCAGGCACAGCATAAAAAGTACAATAGATGTCAGTGGGAAATGTATTTTTGCATTTCCCCCCAGACAGAATTCTCAGTGTTATCAGAAATAGAGCATTTTTTCTCTCCACAGCTGCACAGTGAGAAATGAACGCAGTATCTCAGCTGGTATCTGCTTCATGTGGAATTCATGTGGCTGACGGATCTTAGAACTTTTAAACAAAAGCAATTTTAGAAAAAATATTTCATTCAAACTTGTCCTGTCCCTTATCCACCAGTTTCTACCCATTAGAGAGGTCATCTTGTCTCCTCATCCCACTGCAAGGTATGTGTGTGTGAGGATGGCAAAGAGCAGATATTTTCATATCTGCTTTATATTTTATATATTATTTATATATATTATTTATTTTATATATTATTTATATTTTATATTTTTATATCTGCTTTTTATATAGTGGTTGTCACTATTCTTCAAAGCTGTCTCCTTGAGGAACTCGGTAAAAAAGTGGTTTGTAAAGCAGTGGAGCAATGAAGTACAAGTTACACTACTATAAAAAACCCACAAACCTTTCTTAAGCTGGAGTGTGGTCTTCCATGGTACAAATTAAATAAGGTAAGCAGAACTGACCAAGTTTGGGGGAAAAAAAAGTAAAACCAGTAGCACTTGTAGCCTCTGCACTCAGCAGTTGTGGTTAGATAAAGTATTTGGCACCAAACTCCCTCCTGCAACATTCCAAGTCTGGTAAGGACTGGCAGCAAGTCAGCATTCACTCAGTGTCAGGTGGGTCAGGATGGTCCTTTCTGCAAAGCCAGCAGTTCTGGCCCTGGCCTAGAGCAAAGCCCAGCTTAACTGCTCCATCTGCTCCAGGCTCTCAAGGTGTATGTGAGCAGATGGGGTTAAATCCTGTGTGACCAGCCACAACCCTGCTGCCATCACACTTGAGACCCTCACAGCAATCCATGCTCCAAAATGAGCAATATTTCATTGTTTTAGCTCCAAATACTATTCTCACTCTTTCTGACTGTGATACACATTTTTAAGCCAACATATGTTTTGCCTCAAATATGTTCAATTTATGTCAAATGTATTACATGTAATGAAAATAATCTGAAGTTTTGATTTCAGAAACCACAGACCAATACTTCACTAGAAACAATTTTAGCAAGCTGCTGATTTATGCAAAACTGTGGAACTTTTACTAAAGGGAAGAACAAAAATAGAGAAGTGAAAATAGGGGTTAATAACTGTGTATCTTTATGGGGAGTAGAGAAGTAGTAAAGTTTAAATATTATATATAAAACATATACATACTTAGCAATTCTGTTCGTAGACACATTTAAGTTTGCTTTAAATATTTATGATCACTCACTTTATTTTGCACTTTGCAGAAATAAACCCCACACTATCAAAAATTCTAATGGCAGTTTGTACTAAATTTGAAGAGCCATTTCATCCCTGCTAACAGGGGAAGCATTCTGTGAATGTCTGCTTTTGCATCCAACTGCTGATCATCCCTTTATCTCTCCTTTAACTTGGATGCTAAAATCCAGTATATATAAAAGCCCTCAAAGCTCCACAGGTATAGACATTTTACAGATGGGTGGTTTTGTGCAGACTGGCAATTCAAGTCAAGGGTTTTGAAAATAATCTAAAGCTCCAATTCCAATGTAACATTTAAATTCAGTTATGTTCATATATGGCTTATAGCTCTCCCTAGAATGGAAATATTCTTTTTATAAAGGATCTGGTACTTACAAGGCAAGGTCACTCTGCTTAATAGGAAGTCAAAATGGAAAGGGTAAAAAGAACAGCTGAAAACTTACATTACAGGATGCAACAACTGAAATATGCATCCCCCCTCAGGCCCTGAGCCAGAGTAGCTGCCAAACCTGAGACTAAGAAACTCCACCCTCTTTTGCAGGACCAGTTTGGAAATTCCTGACACTTACAGGGACTAGTCACTCAGATTAACCTGGCCAGAATAAAGAAATCATCCACAAATTGTTCCTATCTCTTGGCCACTGAATGCCACTAACTCAGAATTGTGCTCCCAACCCCTCCTAAAGGTGCCCTGAGCTCTGAGCAGCTCCTTGGCCGCCTTTCTGAGTTACCAAACAGCCTGGGGATTGGAGAACTTTCCACACTTCAACGCTAATGAGGCAACAAATGCATTATAATCCTAAGTATTTCATTAAAAAGCGATTTGAGAAACCTGCAAAAGTGACTCTTTACCATTTGTTTCCACTTACTCCCTCTCACCTCTAGGAAAAAGCAGAGTTAAGTTATGGAACTGAGACACTTCCATATTTATCTACAGCAGGAAGGGTGGCACTTCCTGCACACCCTGGGATTCGAGCAAAGGTTGGATGCATGTGACCACAAGACCTCATGCAGATCATTTCACTCTGTGTCAGCCTGTGTGTGTGTTTTAAGCTATCATGCAATTTAGGTGACTTACCCATTTCACTATTCTACCTAGGCAGAAATACTTTGTCACAGCACTGAACCAAATTCTTCCAGTAAAACAAGAGTAGTCTTTTGAAAATAAAACATGCAATTATTATTACCCCTCAAGGCTTCAACTTTAATGTGAGGGAGCCAAAATTAGTGCCTACACAGAGGTTCAACCCAGCCAAGTGCTGTGTGTGCTGGCCCAGCTGATCAGTGACTCCAAGCATTTTCCAGGGAAACCACGAGGATGTCCCATGTACTTGGGAGTTAGAGACACATCAGACTTTTAAATAAGGTGCTGAAATTTGAATGAAAGCCAAAGAGCTCCAATACATTGCAGAATCAATGGCAATAGTTTGAGAGCTAAAGAGAGCCATGTCACATGTAAATTACACTATAACCTAATGCTCCCTCTCCCCTGAGTGAGTGCAAGGCAGCCAAGCCAGGCTAAAAGAGGTTATGACAGCAGGTAAACCCTCAAGAACCTCCTAAATGAGCAGAGCAGGTCCAGGGGAGATCCAGAGGGACTGAGTGATGGTTTCCATGAAGACATTTTCCATGAAGAGATCTTCCATGAAGATCTTAATGAAAATTTAAGGACACCAGAGAGAGACACAGGAAGGTTCAGGGGAGAGATACTGAGACAAATCCAGAGCTCAGAGAAGAGCAGGCTAAAACTCAGAAATGACCTACACCTGTACCTGGGAGTGGAGGATATTCACTTAGCATTTGATCATTCCTTCTCTGTTGGCACAATGGGATTCTGAAGGGAGAGAGAACTAAAAGGAGACAAGGGGAAGAGTTTGAGGAATGTCTCTGAAGGCAGCAAAATTCAGGTGGACATAGGCACAGTGCCCAGCTGAGGGTGACGCTGAGTGCTGGTAGCCAGGGAGATGGCAGGGCTAGAGAACAAATCTGCTGTGAGGAAGCGTGCTTGGTCAGGAGATTTCCTCCTGAGACTCTCCATGGAGGAAGAGCAGGAGTAAAGGAAGCAGAGGCTGGAGTGAAGCCTTTGAGAGGAGAGCAGAAGGAGGGAGGAAAGGATGGACACCGTGACGCAGAAGGGCACAAAGGTGAGAGCCACAAGTGGCAGGGACAAGGCTACAAAAGAAACTTGTGAAAGCTGCCCAGCTAAGCAGCTCAAAGGCATTATCCCCTCTTGGGAGGAAAGGGAGAGAAAACAACTAAGGTCATACCCAGCTTATTAGAAATGCTGGGCACACATGGAGATCTGCACTGTCCCCACACCTGGCAAGGGGAAAAGCAGCATTCATCTGATATTACTTGAAAGTCCATCCAGATCTGAATTTCTGCCAAGTTCAGCAGGTTTCCAGGGCTGAGATTCCACTTCCAGCCCACTTTTACAAGTTGAAACAAAAAGAAAACAAAATATGGCTGCTTAGACAAAAGCATTTCCAAGAAAATAGAGATTTGTGGCTTATCTGTTTAGCTAGTCAACACAAAGCTAAGCCGATAGAAACAGCTTTGAAGAAAGCAGATTTCCTTATAAATTCCACAAGACAAACTCATTCCCACAGCCACTTTTGCTGGAACACAAAGCCACTCTGGCTCCTCTCAGCATCCTTACCTCCTCCTCCAGTTTCACCACCTTGGCCTGAGCGTTGTTCAAGGCCTGGTCTCGGATCTCGATGTGTCTCCGCTGGTCCTCGTTGGTGGAGCGGGCAGCAGCCAGCTCTATTTCCAGTTTCTCTTTTTCCCGCTGTGTCTCCTTGTCTATGGATAAAAAAGTGATAGTTATCAATGCACAGCACTTGTCTCTGCCCAATTTTCAGGAGCCTTTCACTCCAGAGGTAAAGGGAAGATTGCACTGGGACTTCTCACAAGAAAGAGAATGCAAATCTAGTGCTAAGAGGGAAAATAAAAGGACATGGCTTTCAAGGAAGAGAAGGACCTGTAATCCTGAAAAACAAGTATGGTACCTTCAAGCAACCATGTGCCACAAAGATAGTGAGAAGGAATAGGAGGTGCATCACTCAGTACAGTTACTCAGGCAGTTTGCTGTGATTATACAGATTGTTAGTGAAACTTGGCACCTCTTCACCTCTGGGCTTTCAGCAGTGGAAAACAAACTGAGTAATTTTAATATCTCATGCTGGGGAGAGAGATAGCAGACTGGTGTTCCTGAAAAACTTGTGTTCCTTTTTTTCCACACTGACCCTCCAAACTGGAAGGGGGTTCTGTCCCTTCTCAGAGGAACCCTCAGCAATATTTTCAGAGGAGTCAGAAAACAAATCAGCAGTGAGAACTCCTCAGTCTTCCTCTATTGCCTGTAAGAATGATCCCCTGGGCCAGAAGTGAGGTACACACATCTGTTCTGTCCCTTCTCAGAGCAGATCTGCCACCCCAAACACAGCAGCCCATCCTTTTCTGCTGCTCTCCAGGAAGAGCTGGATGCTTTTGGAGCAGCAATGCTGAGTGTTGCAGGAACAGACACTGCCTTCATAAAAAAAAATAGATAGGATAAAAATAATTGGAGAAATTATCACACAGGGGTGTGAGGCAAAGCCACAACACAGAGCTGATGTCCTCTGTGTATGTTGCCATTCCTAACTCAAGCCAACCAGCTCCAAAGATAACATTAACCCACTTGCTGGAGACACAACCACAGAATACTCCCTGGAGTGATCTACACCCAGCACTGATGACACCAGAGAAACTGCATTCCAGAAACCAATATCCCACGACAAAGGAATGAGGACAAGGAGTGGAAGGCTTGAAAAACAGGAACGAGGTGCTGGGTGTTAGGACAGACTGCATATGGAGTACACAGGCCCATTTGTGCAAGCATGTGCATAACTATATTTACAGGACCACAATTACTCCCTTTCTTCTGCCAGCAAAGAGCCAGGAGCAAAGCTTTAGCAACACAGAGTAGCTAAAGATTCCCTTCTGCCAGGGAATCAACACAGCCCACACACAGGTTGCAAAACAAACCTGTCCACCAACAGCACCCAGAGCTCTGCAGAGCAAGCCCTGACTGCAGCTCAGAGCCAGCCCAGGACATAAGGACAAATGTCATCACCTGCTTAATTTTTTTGCCCATCTTTTCCCAGCATTTCTCCTCCACCCAGGAATGAGTTGCTGCCAGTGTGAGCACATTAAACTGTACTGCAGAGACTGAGCTGCATTGAGACAGGGTGGCATTGTGCCAGCAGGTATCAGTCAGTGCTACCAGTCTGTTTGTTAATCTGGAAATGCTTGCAGAGAGGCTTTTGGAGGTTTTGTTGGAGACTTTTCTCCAAATGAGAACTGCTTCATTGACAAGTGCCTGCAGCACCCCTAGAAATGCTGGGACTGATGAAATGCAGCACTGTGGCTTCCATGTTCATCCGAAAGGAGAGGCCCCACAGCTTTGACCCCTCAATTTTTCTGGGTGTACCTATGAACCTCAGTGTCCACCCAGAAGAAGGAGAGACTAAACTCCCAGACTTCCCAGTACCACCAGGGAGTTTGGAATTCACGCCCTGAACAGCCATTTGCTTGCAAGGCAAACCACAAGGAATAAGCTAAAGATGACATAAGAGAGGAACACCAGAATCTGTCAGGGTAGCTGCAGTGTCTGTTACACCACAGGAAAAACTCTGTTTTGCAATTTTATTGCACTACCTTTTTATATAACAATTGGAGAAAAGTGAGCATTGTCAGAAGGGTGGAGCACACTGTGGGATGAGAGAAAAGTTGGCTCGGCACTGTCGGCCTCAAGACATTTCAGAACAAAGGAAAAGCAGCATTTCACACCCGTCATTTTGGTTTGCCTTGTGATAAATCCACTGCTGTGGACAGAATTCCGGACCCTCACCCAGCCCAGCAGACTGCAGGAGCATTCATCTCCTTTATTTTTGCTGAACAGGATAGGGCAGTGACAAATTAAAGAGGAAGGAGACAGGAGACCTACCAGGCTCCTCTCCTACTGGCCTTGACTCGTGCCAGGACTCCTGTCAGCCTGGGAAGGTTTAATTTCAAAGCTTTCAAGGAATAAAATAAGTGGATAAAGTATGTAAATTATGGGGTAAACACTAATTTTACAGTTTAACTGCAAATTACCTTTGCTCCAAAATCTCTAATAAATCCCATCATATGGACTTTACACATGGACAGAAAAAGAATTCTTGAATCCCTCCTCCTTTCTCCACTGCCAGTTTTGGACTGCCACTGCCCTGATTTCTGTGCTGATAATTAACCTGCTGCACTGTCCTCCTTCCCAGGGTGACTGGAGCTTTCCACTGACCCATAATGGCTGTGTGACTCACTTTGTGCAAAGAGCTGGGAGATGGTTTTCCGATTGTCTTCAGAACCCTCAAACTCCTTCTCTGCCAGCTGCTTGTTGGCTGTCTCCATGCGTTCTGCAAAAATATTCAATGAAACCAAATTAAATAATTTAAAACTTCCAAGCATTAAGTTATATCTGTTCAGGGCATTCCTGATGCTGGGGGAATGGATCTCTTAATTCCAAAGCCTATCGGAAGTTGACGCTCACTCTTGAAATGTTTCTAATTATGTCCTTAAGGAAATACACTCCATGAGACAAAGCAGGTTAAAGTTCCAAAGAAATTATTTTAAGCATTTATAACATAGAAGTTTATTTTTTCAATTTATACCTTTATTTTTTCCACACAAATCCTACCATGCAATTAAAAGATGTCTTAAAATTTTCCACTAAATCTTAACAGAAGATTACTTGTTGTCCAATTACCTGACTTGAGGGAATAGTGTAAAATCCTAAAAACAGCTTAACAGCTCTGCTGCTTCAAGCTGCTAGAAATCTGTGTCAGTCTGTGAAAATGAGAATGAAATGTTTATGCTGTGTTTTATTATGAATAAGATTATTTAATGCAGGCCTTTGTGTACAGTACTGGGAAATGTATGGCTTTATCTCCTGGATGCAAAACAATTTCTGGGAGTCTTAGTAAAAGACATGAGGCAGCAAGAGCATGCAGGACAATCAGAAGGCTTTCTTAAAAAAATTAAACTTACAGTTTAAACAACTGTTTGTGCACCTTCAAAAATCTCAAATTGCAGATGTTTTCCACCTTTTAAACTAATGCTTAAACTTTTACCCCTGGTAAGGTCAAATACCACTCAACACCACGCTGCTGCCAGCCGTGGTGCTGCCTCAGCCTCTTAGCAAGAACCAGACACCAATAACATCTCACTCTGGAAAAGGAAGGGAGATCCAAAAAAACAGATGCCTACATTGATAAGGAATGACAAGACCTTCAGGAAGAACAGACACTCTGCAGTTTGTATGTCAGTGCAAAAAGGGTCACTGGACAGGAAATAAAGTGAACGTGCCTGGTGTGGGATTAGGCAGTCAGTAAAACCTCTTTCCATTCATGTAAACTGAACAAATTGTACAAATTGTCTCTAGGATATAAGACATGAGAGAATTCCAGGCCTGCATCTGGTTTATGGTATTTGGCTTATCACATGTTTCTTGTCAATGAGAAACAGGCTGGAAATGAAAGACTACAGCCCTCTCCTAAACCTGTCTTTTCCATTCTTCCAGCAAGTGCTTAAAATCTCTTGACTACTGAATGCACCTGAGTATCCTGTCATATTCCTGAATTCTTCAGCAAAACCCTCTCCCACCAAATAAGCATAACAATAAAAACCCCCAGCACTGAAGAACAGAAGTTTTACTTCATTTACCTCTTAGATCTCTGTTGAAATCATGAAGCCTACGAATTTCTCCTTCCAGTTTGTTTCTCATGGCCTTTTCCAGGGCATCCCGCTTAGAGGATGATTTCTCCAGGTTTTTGTATGCCTCTGAAACTTGCTGAATTTCTGTTTCCAGCTGCAGTGGAAGTGAAAACAAGCACTTACTGTTTCTCACTAACAAATTGTATTGTCTCAGACAGGAGATTACTTTGTCTCAAGTGTTCTTTATTGAGGAAAACTTACACTTATACATTAAGTAAAAGAAAGTCTCAGGTCCGTGATGAATCCCTTTATAGAAAAAAATACCAGTGGCTGAATAATTTTGCAGTAAAATATGCTTTATCCTTCCTTTTAGCCTTCAGTGTAAAGCGTCTTTGATCATCCAGAGCAGGAGATTCTCTCCTAACTCTCCTTGCTGGGCATGGTTTGCTATGGAAGTGTGGATCCACACCACAGCAAACCCCATCAGCACTGTCTACGGCAAGTGATCAACAGGGAGGTGGAGGGAAGTGCATTTGTATCCTTCTGTCATTATCAGGAAGCTGTCAAACAATCCTTTCAAGTATTTCCTAGCCAGAAACCTTCCCCAAAAATACAACTAAACGAACATATGCCCCTGGTTAGAGGTAACATGGGGAATAATGAGCATGGAAAGCCACACTGGTCACCTGGACTCAAAGACAAGCAGCCACACATTTTTCTGACCTCAACACTGCTCAGTGCAAAGAGCACAGCAAGGTCCATGAAATCCGAAATTGCTAAGTAGCATCAGCCTTTCCACAGCTGCAAGGCAAAAGCAAAGCTGACCTTCTGTCCAGCTCTAAACCACTGGTGATCAAGAAGTTACTTCTTTGAGGCAGCATGAAAATACCTCCACACATGCACATTAATGATGGGTCTCACTGCATTTTCTTTTAAATGTCTTAGCATCATTTACTCTGCTTGTTCCATAAAGCCAAAGATGGCAAATAGCTGGGTCCAAATCAAGACATTAAGTTTTCATGGAAATTGTGTGGTGTTGAAAGAAGGACAAAAGGAGTCTTAATCCCAGTCCTGCAGTCCAAATGTCTTTAGTGTAGGCACAGCAGCACTACTTGCCCTGCACACTGTGGTGCCAACCAGTTTTGTAGCCATGTCCCCTGTGCTTCCTTGGGTGGCTCTGGTCTCATGCCATCCCAAACAGGCCCTTCCTGCAGCTCTGAAGTCTTTTTGAGAAAATGAAACCTGCTGCTATCCTGGACAAGCCTTAGCTTAGCCAAGCAGCTCTTCAGCAGCTGAGGAGGACGTGCTTCTGAGCACGGTCAATGAACTGTTAGCAGAAAACTGAAGGCTTTGATTCCATCTTCTGCCAAAATTAAGCTGATGCCCAAAGGCACAGGACACAGACTAACCAATCTGCATACAAAAGACTCTAAAGTACATAATCAATCCCTTCAGCAAAGGAATCCAACAGCTGCAGATTAAATGATTAAATTAGGGACTAGACCAGAGACAGGAGAATGCCTGAACTCCACAACCACCCACCTTCTGCAGCCGGGCCACTTTCTCATAGCACCCATCCAGCTCCTGTCGTAGGGACCGGTTCTCCTCTGACAGGATTTCCACCATTTGCTGGGCCCTGGAAACGATGGCAAAAGGATCTACTTGCATCTGCTGGTAGGGGGAAGGGATCTGCTGGGCCCGGGGCATCACGGAGTAGGAGTCGCCTTGCTGCTGCTGCGGGCCTAGGAAGGGCTGGCATAGTCGGTACAGATCTCCCTGATGGACTGGGTTGGACAAGAAAGGCTGCTGGGTCCGTGGCAGAACGCCAGGATCTGCCTGGCTGGGAGTCAGTGGTTGCTGGTGCTGGGAAGGGGACAGCCTAGAGGGTGGCGGAGACTGCAGCAAAGTCAAAGATCCCAGGGATGTCAAGGAAGAAGTTGGGCTGTGGTGGTGAGGTGGTCTCTGTTGTAACTGCAGCTGCACATCTGGGTTCTGCCTGGAAAACAGAGAGCACAGGCTCCATCACAGACATGCAGAGGAAGATGCACAAACCCAGGGACAAGGTGTGTAGCTCCTGTGCACAGGTCTTCCCATATAAAAGACTCAAGTGAGGCTTTCTTCCATTTTATAACTCTGTTTTTAAAAAGCATTTCAAAATAAAATCTTTAGCAGAAATTTATTCTAAAGGCACAGAGGTGTTTCCTCTTGAGACTATTTTTTACAGAAATACATCAACAACTACTGGCCAAAATTATTTTTCTAACTTTTCTCCACACTTTTTGGATAAAACTGCTCAACTAAGGAAGGACTGCTATGAATGGGCTCTTTTCTTCTGGCCTTAAATCCATTAAGTGCCATCTGTCATCAAGAAAACAATTTTCTTCTGCAAATCAGGATAGAGAGTTAAAAGCATTGGCTAAGCTTGATGCTAGTATTCCAGCACCACTGATTTGAGCTTTCTGAAATATCAACCAACAAACTGCAGCCTGGTTAAATGAGACAAAGGATCTGAAAACCAACCCAAGAATCAGAAGCAGCATTTTCATTCCAACCTACCCTGTCCTATGCAGCAGGTGTGTTTACTGCTCCTAACAATAACCTCTGCAAGCTATCAGAGACACATCTAACAATCTATAACATGCCTGAGTCCATCACAGAGCTAAATCCAAGCTACACCCTCTCACATTTCCCAGGCTCTGGAGATCCCCAGCTCAACTCCTGCTGCATTAGCCAAATAAGAAATCTTTCTGAGAAGACTGTGTGGATTTATCATGCTTGGATGACCTCAGGAGGCAGGATTTGCTTTCTCCTCCAGAAACATTCAACCTTTAACTTCTCTGGATGTTCTTTATTCTAACAACTGAAGTCTCTCCCTCTCCATGCTGCAGCCAGTCTCTTCTTGAGCAAAGAGCTCAGCCCAGAGCAGACCCAGCCTGGCAGTTCAGCATGTCCTGAAACACTCCTGCTGCTCTGACAAGATTTCCCACCCTTTGGGATACAGTTCAGCCCTGCAGCTGGAAAAGTACATACTGTTGTTCCACCTGGCCAGAGCTGCTCCAGAATACCCCCCTGGCTGTCTGTGCTCCCAGGAAGGACTCCTGCCCTGCAGAGGATGGACAAGGCAGCTCACAGCATTCCCACAGCACCAGGAGCCTTGGAGGAACTGACAACAGTGAGCAGGAAGCTGAGCTGGGAACTAAGGCGCTACACAAAACGCTTCAAGTGCAAACATTCAGTACCATCCTTCCTGTCCTCCAAGAAAGGAGGAACCACTCCTCATACCCACCACTCACATCTGGGCATTACTCACATCTGGCAGCAGCACAAGGGAGTTCAGCAGCTCTCAGCCTAGCACAGGGTTCACTATTTCAGCATTATGCTCCTCATGTCTCATTGCCCTGCTTTCCAGCAGAGAAACCTCCAAGCTCCCACTCAAAATTTTTAATGAAGAAAAAAAACTAGTCTTTGTTAACTAAGACAAAACAAAGAATCACTGCTCTAGCTACTGTTTCTCTCCTCCTCACATTCAGGTGACTGTGATCCCTGCCAGCAGCATCATTTCAGGAGCTGTATTTCCCCAGAAACGATCATTTGCAGCATGAGGATTTCAAGGGTCATGCTGAAGAGTGATGTGCAATTAATTTCCTCAGGAATGTTCAGCTTAGTAGCAGCAATTTGGTTCTTCTCCTCCCAGGGGGGCAGCTCTACTTATTGTTGCATTGATTTCATTAACTTCATTTGCCAGTTCTCATAATGAAGAATGAGGCAAAACCATCACAGGCCATGCTCAAGGTCACCTGGTTTGTCTCAGGTGGTTTCCAGCTGCTTTGTTAGCTCATCCAGTTGTGTGCAGAGTTAAAACTTTACATCCTCACAAACCACTCATCTCCCTGAGTTTATTCTTTACCTATCTCCACAGCTCTGCTTTGATGCTGCAATCAATTAGGGAATAACCTCGCTGTGACATTTCATCTGTGATGACCTACAGAGTTAGATCAAATAGAAATATGTTGCCAGTCTGCCTCATGGATGCAATAAAAAAAAAAACAATTTTCAACCTACAAAACACTGTTTTCCAGTCTGAAAACAACCTGGAGCAGTTACTCAGGGAGACTGGTCTCAGTGAGTTAATCTTATAAGCCTAATGAGGATGATTTAGATACCAATGTTAACAATTTGAGCTATTTGACTAAAAACATCTTGTTATTCTGTCAACTGCGACCCAGTGGCAGAACTTTGTCATCCTGAGCACCAATGAAAGGAACAAAATGATGGCCAAAGAAACACAGCAGCAGCACTTTTAATTCTGAAGGGCCAGTCAAATTGACATGCCTTGTAATGATCCTTTTTTTAAAAAACCTATTGTAAAGAACAACTCTAGGAGATCGTGGCTGAGTATTTCTAAACAGGATATATTTCCAAGAATTCCAGCATCTTGGCACTCGCATCCAAAGTCTCTCATAATCTTGAAATTATACCAATCTTGTGGGCTCTAGCTAGAACATGAGAGCTTGGAGCCTCTAGTCTTGTGGCATTACCAACAGCATTAGGGCTTCCAAAATGTCACAGATGTATTTATATTCCCAACAGAATAGCACTGCTGGGTTAATACATCCTGCTTTTAAAAAAAAAAATATTTAAAAATCCTAACCTCACAGTAACCTAACAGTGACACCAGATTTTTTTAAGATCTTGCATGCAAACTTTTACATACACATTCAAAGAACTTTTTAGCATCCCCACTAACAATTTTGTCTTATAAAATACATACATTTTGTGGGTACAAAATAACTGGCTCTGGGATTTTTTTATATTAACAAGGGAAGTGAAGGATTTATTTCTCTGGTAAAGCAATTTTGGGCTGAGAAAGTCAGAAAGATAAATGAACACAATTTGGATTTTTCAAGATTTTTATGCTACACTGCAAAATGTAAAGGTAAAAATGACTATTGGTGTAACAGTATTGCTGATAAAATGGAGGCAGAAAATTCCCTCTGTGAGAGAATGAGTCCTCAGGTAACCCTGCAATAGTAATCACAATTTTATCTGAACCAACCACTTAAGAAAAAACGTAGACTCTCAAAACACATATACAACAAAATTACACAATCTCCTTCCATTTGCCTCAGTGTCACAGAGACCTAAATAAACCAAATGCAAGGGAAAAAAAAAACAACAACAAAAACTCAGAGCAATTATCCCCACAAGTATTTGGGTCTGAAAGCATAACTTTAAGGGCCACTTCTCTGTGCACCACGCAGGAATTTCTGCTCCCTGGCATGGACCAGAGGAACACTCCACACAGGCCAAGTACAAACCTGGATTTATGGCTCTGCAGCTACAAGGGTCAGCTCAGCTTTTCAGGCAGGAAGACAGAGCCAGGGACTCAGGACAGCTCTGCAGCATCAGGGGTGCTCAGGCTGCCAGGACAGAGGGTCACACACAAGGTCTGTGGGCAGAGCAGCACAGTGGGGAAGGCAGAAGAATGAAGGGATCAGGAAAGGTCTCTGGCTCGTTAAGGTGTTTGTTTTTTTTTAATGCCTTCCCAGCTTCTCCTGCCTGTTTGGTGTTCAAGAAGCTCCAGTTCCCCTCTCTTCCCCAGCCCTTCTGCACAAACCAGAAATGCTGACTGCGGGAAATGCTGACTGCGGGAGGGAGCAGGCTCCACTCCATTACACAGCCGAAATCAAACCCAGGAATTTTTGTTCTGCTGCCCAGTCACACCTGATTAGCCCCCACTTTGATGGTGCTCAGAGGAACGCAGTGCACAGAGTGATTTACTAATTATGGGACAAATTCTGTAGACCTCCCTCTCAAAAACTTTCTGTGAAGTCAATGGGATTAATCACCACAGCAGGAGTTCAGTCATTTGGGCTCCAGACAGAGGATGGCGCTTGAATCAGAGAGACAAGGAGCTTCGTCTGCACCCAAAAATGCATCAGACAGGGGCTCCCTCTGCAGCCAAAAATGCATCAGATAGGGGCTCCCTCTGCACCCAAAAATGCATCAGACAGGGGCTCCCTCTGCACCCAAAAATGCATCAGACAGGGGATTCCTCTGCACCCAAACCTGCTCCAGCTGTCACAAACCTGTCCTGTGCTGCCACAGGAGCCCCTGCAGCCCCCAGGACACGGAGCCCAAGGCACCCGTGCTCTGCTCTGGAACTGGAGGGTTCTTTTCACCACCAATCCTAAAGTGCAGCTGAGGTATTAGGGAGAGAACTCGACTCCGAAGCTTTCACATGCGGCCAGCCCTCTTCTAAACTTTCTTTAAAATTTCCAAATAACAGCAGAGATGCCTCCGACATGCCCGGCATTTACATTAAACCAACATCATTACCAAAATACACTGTTCCCAAACTTTACACCGCCCAGGAGCAGGTGAGGCAAACTGTTTGCAGACTGGTTTAAACTTACCACACAGCCCATTCCTTTCCCAGACTGGGGAGGGTGAAGCATGAGAATGCTGTGAATTCCCCAATGTTTATCTTGCTCAACGAGTTTTATTTAACCGCATCATTAGGTCACCCTCAAATTCCCCCGAACAATGAGGGGAAAAACCCGCAGAAAAGGGTGTGGCTTCGGCAGCAGAGAGAAGGGGCTTTGTTTCCTTGACGCACAGTTCAAAAAATGCACACATTTACCAATCCAAATGAATCCCGATCGACGGCGCAGGAAAACGGGAGACTGCAAGGACACTCCTGGTGCGAGGCAAAGGCTCTCCCCGGAGCTGTTTGCCTTTAAAATCCCTACACCATCACCCAGCTGCACCTTTAGCAACACAGAAGGTTTCTTGTCTAAATGACAGTTTCTCTTAAAGCGTGCGGGAGAGGGAGGGGAATAGAGGACCCGTTCCCTTCCTTTGCTACGCTGCTCTGTAATTTATGGATTAGTCTTGCAATTGTTCTACTGCTCCAGCATTTGCTTGCAAAGGAAACCTCTCCTCTGAGCAGCTATTTAGGTTAAAAAGTAACCTCATTAGATTCCCAGTGCTTTGAAGACAAATTTCAGTTGCTTCCCCTACTGGAAACCTTGCCAGCTGAACCTTTCTCCTCCCCCTCCTTCCCCCCACCATGTTCTTTCAAAGCAGCCAGGATCCATCCAATACAGACAAAAATCACCCTGTCTAGAGGAGCTGACTGCTGGCGTGTTTTCAAATACCTCTCCCTTGAACAGCAAGCAGGCTACGTCTCACTGCATATAATATAAGGAGTATTTCTGATGCAGCAGAACCACTGAGGAGCTGTTTCTCTGTCCCATGTGCACAGAGGTTTGAGGCCTTTGAATTTGCAAAAACATTTGCAACGAGCTTCTACAATCATTACCCCCCCTAAACCCTTTACTTCCCCTTTTCCTGGCCTCTTTATTATTTATTTAGCCAGATCAAAGGGCCTTTTCATCAGGCTTGTATGCTGCTGAAGTCATTTCAGATCACAAACAATGGTGGACAAACTCTGAAAATAGCTCCTCATAGGGCTAGGAAGGTTCTGGGCAGATTCAAACTCCCTAAAGCTCGGACTCTGCTCCCAAATACTGACTGGTTTCTTCATGAGCCCCTCAAAATGTGCAAACACTAATTCACAGAGACCTCTTTCCATTTACATCCTCCCCTTGCTCCTCTGAATTACCCTTTTAGCTCCAAAATGAGGCCGAAATCGTTACACCGGCTACCACCTGGTGTGAGGCAGAGATGAGGCAGTATGGAAACAGGTAAGGTAAAACTGGGGTTTTAGCCCACCTTAAAAAACTTCATCTTCCCACATGGACATCAGTGTTTGGCTCAAGCCAAATCCAGCTCCTTATCTAGAGGGAACCAGAACAGGCTGAGATTTCAAACGATGCAAGAAAAATGAGCAAAAGCTGAACAAGCAAGTCTGGGATGAGGCACAAAGCATACTCCATTTTCCTCTCCTAAACTTCAATCCACTGAAAATAAAATCTTAACAATTCTAAAGGAAGCTCAGAGGTGATTTTTGCTACCTGCACCATTATTGCTTTCCTTCACTTTCTCCTTTCCTATGCAATGTAGTTTTAAAAAAAATTTTTTGTCTGGCAGATGTAATTAAAGAACAACTTAAGCCTTGCAATAAGTAACTAACTGCAAGTTTCTACAATGAATCACACCATAACTTCAGCTTTTGTAGCACAGCTTTTGTGAGGCTCTGGAGCCTCAGCATTAAATTTCCCCATACCACAAAATCAAGTTGGCTCGTTTAGGTTTTTTTTTTTTGGGTTTTTTTTTTGGTAGAAAAGCATCAGGCCTCTCTAGGCAGCTACTGAAGCAGGTACCAGTCCTTCCAGACAGTCTGCAGCTGAACACAACATGTCAACTCACGAATGAAGATGGGGTCTTTGCTGAGGGAAAACCTGCCTCAGGACTGAAGGCGATGGACTGAGTTTTATATTGTAATTCCCTACGTGGCTGTCACAGGGTTTGTTTGAAGGTCTCGCTTACCTGACTGAGCCATACTCAGGGGGATGCTGATACCTCATCATAGGCCCATCAGATCGTCCCTGCTGGCTCATGCGATGGTCACTATAGAAATGCCCCGAGTCCTGGGGTTTGCAGTTCATAGACGGGGTGGACATGTTTTTGTAAGGATACTCAGGGGGAGGCCCCCGCTGCTCCATTCCTTTCATGCTGGGCTGGGAAGGGGGCTGCACCGAGTTCTTGTAGAACTCATTGGAGCCAGAATTTTTGTAAGGGTCGCTGGACTGCTGGGGAGAGAGCGGGGACAGCGGGGAGAGCGGCGCGCTCGTGACGGGCGCGTGGGCCTTGACCCCGCTGGTGGCCAGGGACAGCTGCATCAGCCTCTCGCTCAGGGAGCGCACGTGGCCTTGCTTCAGGTCCTTCAGTCCTTCGTCCTGGTGCACCTTCCCCGGGCTCACCCGCTGCACCGTGGGCCTCCCTTCAGTCCTCATCTTCTGGTTGGTGACGCCCGTGACGTAGAAGGCGGCCCCGACACTGGCGTGCGGCTGGCCCCGGAAATACTGCGACTGCACCTTGGCCTCCTCGTAGGTCGGGAGGTCCTCGCTGTTCTGGAGCCGCGGCGAGAGCTGCTTCTCCATGATGCTGTTGTCCACCTGTATCTCCTGGCCCTGGGGCTCCTGGCGGGCAGCATGAGTTACGAGCTGGTGGTCCTGGGAGCTCAGCCCTTCGTTCTGAGAGGCCGGGCTGCCGGTGCTGCTGAAAGGGGGGGCATTCCCTGTGGCTTGCTGGTGTAAGGCGAGAAGGTTGCGGTTGTCATTTGGGTTCCCGTATCGGAGCTGCTCCTGCAGCAGGCGCTGTAAAACTGTCGTAGCTGCTTGTTCTTCTGAATTCCTCATCTCAAACTGTGGTGCCTTTTGGGTGGAATGTAAAAGCTGCCCTTGACCTAAGGAAAGGAGACACGGTTATTAGCGCCTGAGTGGATCCAGCGAGAGATATTCAGGAGCCAGGGCTTGAAATACAGAAAAAAAGCAGGGTAGATTACCAAAGGTTCCCATAACAATGGGGGTCATCAAGGCCCTTGACCTAAGAAGGACTTGCATGCCCGGGGGGCAAAGCCTCAGAAAGGTGATGAAAGGTGACTTGAAAGTTTATAGGCAAATCAATGGACTGCAAGCTGTAGGGATGCATGCCAAATACCTCAGACAGCATCTCGGGCAAAAAGGAGACGTGGAATTCACAAAATGATGAAACCTGTTTGCTTTATGCTTAGAGTTACCAACAGTGAAATACACTTCCCATATTTGTAGGCAGACAAGGATTGAAGTGTGAAATCAGCAACTCATTGGTTTTAAGGGAAAGAAAAAAAAAACGTCAAAGAGGCCCATTGAGATAGCATATGGTTCAAAAGAAGTAAAGAAATCTCTCAGCTTAGATAAAGCAATTCATGAATACCTAGTTAGCAAGCAGGTTTTCGGAGTTATTAAATGCCCAGAGTGAGATCAGCACCTCTTCTCCCTGCTGCAGAAAACCCCAGGCATGGTGCAAGTGAGGACTCAGGAACTTCCTGCTATACAAAGGCAACCAAATCCTCACACATCTAAATATCCTCAGCGGAATGCATGCAAATGCAAGGGGAGGAAAAAGACTTGTCTGATCTAAGGAACAGAAAAAGACCTCCGAGTGGCAGGAAAAAACACTGCGTCCCAATGAGAGAAACACAAAGAGCCAATGTCAGGCATATCCTAAGTACAGATTAAGCCAGTAACCAACAGCAATTACATTTTGCTCAGTCTCCCAGCAGAGTCCAGAGTGTGTCATGGAAACTCAGGCCCATTGGCCTTGCCTGAGTTGAAATATCAAAAATTAATGATACCTTTGAGACATGTAACTGAAAGCAGAGCTACTTTTGAGCGAGAACAGCTCAGAATAGAGAGTAAGCCTCACTTGCTGTCCAAGCTGTGGCTCTGCCCTGACAGCAGAACACATGTTGCTCTTCTAGCATTTTCTTTGGACACCTTTTTTCTGTATTACATTGTCCTTTAGCAGAAGGTAGCTTGTTCCCAACAGTTTTTTCTGTGGCAGAACCAGGAATCAGGAGGCCTAAAGGGTCTGCTTTGTGCTGCATCTCCACAACCTCCCCATTTGCTCCCTCAGACCAGCCAACCCCTGCAACACAAGGACTCACACTGGGCACACAAAAGCCTCGTGCAAACCTTAATGAAGAGAAAGTTAAAATCCACCTCATTCCAGGCTGCTCACCACTGCAGGAATTCAGGCCCTGTTAGCTGACCTGGAATGTGACTCCTCTGAAATCCTGTTTGAAGTGGCACATACCTTTGTCCTTCACTTGGAGTTCCCTGGTAAGGAGGAGCAGTTCTGCCACATGGGGGGACACACTCAGCCTTCCTCCTGCAAATCCAAGTTCTCCACTCAGAGATGGCTTCAGGCTCCTCTTCAGCAGGCCAGATCACTTGATACTCTCCTCGCTCCCAAAATAATTCTGAGGAAAGTATTGAAAACATCGTTTTAATCAGCAGATGAGACCCTAGAAATAATAAACCTTGGCCCATATTTCAGATTTTCCTTTTTGTAGCTTCTTGTTTTCTCCCAGAGACCAACAATTTTGATCCCTTTAGGATGAATGAACCCCTGTGTCCCCAGCAATCTACTCCAGCTGCTGCTTTAATCATGACCATTTCTGCTCCAAGATTAAATGTTGCCAAGTAATGCTTTGTCCCATCTGTGCCTCCAAGTGAAACAGTGATTAAAACCCGCTAATTCTTTAACTCCATTGTTTTATTTTTTTGCTCAGAATGAAAGCTGCAGCACAGATGAGGATGCCCTGTGCTTATGGCTCCTTTGCCAGTGGTGCTGAGTATTTCAAACTGTGTCAGCAGAAATCCTCTGCTGGAGGGTGACACAGTGAAATGCTTGATAAACTTCAACACACTGTGCCTCAGAAATGACTGTGAGAATGATCAGTTTGTGAATATTAGCTTTATTTTACAGACTGGGAAAGTCAGGGGAAGAAAAGGACACTGACAAGAGTTTATGCCAGAAATACATTGCAGAGCACAGCTCTAATTCCCAAAACACTCTTTAATTACGTTACTTTTCTCCTTCAGAATATGAAGCAGTAAAGAAACTTTAACCATTGAGAGGAGAAACAGGAGAATACAGAACAATGTGTATTTAGGCATGTTACAAGAAGTTACTGAAAGTGTCCTAAAGAAAAAGGTAAGCAATGCAAAAGATGTGGAATGTATTTGTGCACTCAGTGTGTTCATACTTTAAGGAAAGGCAATGAAAACAAAACTAGCAAAACTAAAAATATTCATTGATATGTATAATTTAACTTAATTTCCTGGAATGTTGCAAAAAAATAAAGTGAACAGATGTAGTGAAGGAATGCAGACGTGGATACTTCTGTCTCTGACTTATTATGGCACAAATCCACACCCAACAAAAACTAATCTCAGATCTGCAAGTTAAATACTTGAGGTGTCAACAGCAATTTCAAGGCACATGAACAATATCTAAGGAGAGAACAAGGCAGTGTTGTGTGGTGTGGTACTTCAAGATGGTGGCTGAAAAAAGCAGCTAATGTCAAATTCTTAACTGGTGACTTAGCTCAAGAGGGATATATTGAAAACAGCTGCCAGCAAATATGCAGTAAAGAACCTTTAAACCAGGCATTAAAGATAGCAGATAACTAGAGCAATTTCTAGCCTCTTTTCCCAGTGTTGCACAACAGAAGTTAAGGATTTCTCATCCTCCTCACACCAGAATCATCACTGACTCTTCTTTTTCTAATTTTTTTTTTTCTAAACCAAGCTGCCCTGAGCAATCCTTTTTATTAGTGCATAAAAAGGCTTTCATTATGCAATATGATGCTGCCTTTCCACCCAAAGATTTCTTTTGTCTCAACTGGAAAAATCTAAGGAGGTGGGGGGGAGTTGTTTATTTTTTTAATACAAAGATACAACCCAGCTTGAGATTCTGCCTCTCTGCTTTAAATATTTTTTTTTTTTCAACAGACAAATACAATCTGTGCATGTTTAACTCCTTCAAATGCTCCAGGAACCATTTCACACACAGAGCTTCACTCCTCAGCACCACCAGCTCATTCTGCTGAGCTGATGGAGGGAGGGCACAGTTCACACTGAAAACACTTGCTGGAACTGAATGCTACTAATTTTAGTGTGGGTGTAAACTAGAAACCAACCTGGAAACCCAAAGCAAAAGGTGGGCTGAGATGCAATATGAAGATATTCTGGCCAACAAATCCGCTTTCTTTAAATACCGACTGGTAGCCTATTTTTTCCAGTTTTATCCCATTATTTTTAATTAACAAAGAAAATCTTGTGCAACTAACTTGGGTGGCAGCATTCCTGGAATCTGCTTTCTGAGCAGGCTGGAAACTCCTGGCAGAACCAGTGAGTTAACTTTTCTATTAACAAAACACAAAAATGAACAGTACAATCGGTGCTGAAGCCCATGTGTTATTTATTTGGACACCAAACTCTATTTGTGTCAGGCTCTTCCAGCAATTTCGGTTTTCACTGTGCCAAAGATGGAAATTAGTGAGATGCACTGGAAAAGTTGTTATGATAGAGCTGGAAGGAAATTGGGAAGGTTCTGTAGATACTTTAAACAGACATATTTGTGAGTTTAGCCTGCATCTATTATGATTGATAGAGCTGAAATCAGACTGCCAACAAATCTGCCAAACTATACGGATTGGATGGTGCACTCTCCATAGCCACAAAGCCTAGAAACACCTTTTCCAGTGGAAAATTCAGGTTTAGATCAAATCTCATCCAAGGAACCACAGTGAGATTTCCCAGGCTGAATCAATTTTGCAATTTGCTCCCAAACATCGCAGCTCTATCATCTTATACCTCATTCTAAACTCTGGTCTGAAATTACTCCTGGTAATTTGAGGGAAAAACTCTTGAGGAAACATCAGAACCTAGAACTGGTAGAACTAACACAGGAATTGCAAATAATGCTTCACCATGCCGAGATCAAGAATGAGCACAAAAGGGGGGTAGGGTAGGTATTATTTAAGGAAGAAAAGCCTCATGTTTGCAGGGCATTGTATAAAAACCCAGTAGCTGAGGCTTCTTGTCTTAAACATCGTGTAATTATGCACAGGAACCTTGCCAGTCCCTCGTGAGGAAGGAAGATTAATGAAGAATTTAAAATGATAATACTGCCAGGCTGTAGGGAACCAAAGCAGCACATTTCTGTACAGCATGCAAATATTTTCCAGCATTATAAAAATAAACAAGCTTGGACAAGTGAGCGACTCACCACTATTTGATGAGTGGCTCTAATGCTATAGCTCAATTAACCTGCATGAAGCAATAATAACCTCACAAGCAAAGAGAAGCATCTTTCTTTAGCTTGTGAAATGAAGAGGAATGCAAAAGTCCCTGTGAGGACAGCTTGTGCATACTTGCCCAGAATTACTGCTTAGCCAAGGAGCTAATTAGCTAACGCATCAGGTGGGATGGGAACAGGTTCACCACCTCATCAGGGCTGCAGTACAGTTAAGCACTTTCAGTTTTACTCCTAAGTTTTGTGTCACTCACACCTGAAACAATCCAGTGACAGACTTCAAACTCCAGCAGCAAATCTGTAAAGCAGTTCCGTGGTTTTTCGTAACGGATGTGCTCGTGATACTGCCCATCCTGGTTGGCAGCAGGGGATGGGATGCTACCAGGTAGATGAAGTTTTAGGCTGGTTTTTTAGGTGCAGGTTCTTCTTTAGGTTCTTCAGACAGACCTGCACTCTGTAATAGAGGGGAGGACAGGAAACAGTGCGGAAAGGACCAGCTGTGAGGTCCCTGGGCAATACTCCCATGCTGAGTCACCCCTGTGGGTAATGGAAACACTCTGCTGCTCCATGGCCCGTGCAAACCCCAGCAGGCTGATCGCTGATCCTGCAGAATTCACTCAGCCTGTGTCTCCAAGACCATTGGAACCACGGCTGCTCTGCACAAACGCTCACTTTGGAGTCGCTGGGAGCACCAGGGACTCAGAGGCAAGGTCCCAAATTATTTAATGAATAGTGGAGGCTATCACTGAATGCTCTTTGCTTCCTTTCAGCCCTGCCCAAAGAGGAGGAGGAGGAAGGGAGAGAATACACACCAGAACCGTCCTGGAGAATAAAGGTTCCCAACCTCTGGTGCCGACACCCAGACCTGCAAGGCGGAACTCAACAAGTCCCAGCGTTGTGAGAGCTCTTTAGCACCTGCTCCTAACCAGGAGGAGGTTCCAGACTCCAACCATAAACACCTCCCCAGCTCCCATTCAACCCTCCAGCCCTGCCTGCCTCCATCTGCTGCCCGTGGCTCAGGTGATCCCGGAGGGTGGCACCGAGCAGGTGCATGGAGCACTGCCAGCATTACTCATCTTCATTCCAGAAGGGCAGAGTCACCGGGCAAACAAGAAAAACTTCCTTCTTTTAACGAAAAACAAGAACAATGTCACCCGGAGGGGGGCAAATAAGATGCATACCCATTGTATTAGATCATCCTGCTACAGCAACACAAGAGAACAATCAAAGACTGGTCCCGGTTTTAACAACTCTCCCAGCCAAACTGAGTCCACCTGAGCAAGGATTAGACTGTCCCTAACCCTGCCCCTCAAACACTTCTGTCACTGGGACCAGGCACAGGGAAGCCTGGCAGGCCTGAAGAAAAGGCAGCAAGTTGCTTGGCCTGGCTGGAGATAAATAAATCAAGACACCAACATGGGAAGATCCCCTCTAAATTACTCTCAAAGGAAAAAAAACTGAGAAGACCTTACTTGACCTTTGAATTACTGCTCCCCTCACTAAAAAGTATCAATTTCTTCACAGGGAAGTTCCTATAATCTTCACCAGAATAATTTAGGTTTTATATTACAAAAGGACAAAAAAAAAGAGAATAAACACTTACAAAGCCCGGTATAAATAGGAATGTGTTGTGGCTTTTAAGCATTTTGTAAAGAATGCTATGGAATTTCAATTCCTCCATAAAATTTTAAAAGTCACAAGGGCAGGAGGATTTATTCTGAATATACCAGTCTAATAGGAAAACCAGCTGCTTTTATTGAGAATATTTCTACATGAAGACATCACACCACTCCGTTACTTAAACTGTTACACAGCACTACCTAACACTGCTCACACATCTGCAGAGTCACAACCCTTTAGGGACAGGTACTGCCATTTCTGCATAATTAATGAAACAAAAAATTCCAGCACAGGCAATGGAAGTTCTGCTACCACCTCCAGAAAAGCCAAGATCTCACCTTTAAACGTCCTCTTGCTAAAACCAGCTCAAGTCCACGGAGCTTTTGCCACACCAGGTCTCATTTCAGAGGGCTGCCTTCCCAGCATAGAGCAAGCAAGATTAATTTGCCTCAAATTTCAGCGATTTCCAGTAATTATCCTTGCAGAACTGGGGAATTGCTGCAAGCCCAAGCCGCAGTTTTAATTCAACTTCAAGCT